GATCAGTTTCAGCAGCGGCTGACGCCAGTTCTGACTTACATACAGATTCAACTTAAGAACAAACCTACAGTCCCTATCTTGTACGTAACCCGGGGACTGCCTGTACATATTTTATGGCGCATATGATAAACTTTTTAGTGTTTTGGTTTTACAGTGACCAAACTAAATTTGTTGTAAGCATGTAAGTAGTTATTTCCTGTGAAGAAGAAGTTCTCCCTTGGACGCCAGTTCTGACTTACATACAGATTCAACTTAAGAACAAACCTACAGTCCCTATCTTGTACGTAACCCGGGGACTGCCTGTACATATTTTATGGCGCATATGATAAACTTTTTAGTGTTTTGGTTTTACAGTGACCAAACTAAATTTGTTGTAAGCATGTAAGTAGTTATTTCCTGTGAAGAAGAAGTTCTCCCTTGAGATCTTAAAATCAGGTTTGTAAGCAAGTTTTCAGTTGGCTTTGTTGTTTGAAGTCAGATATCTCCATGCAGAAGAATATTTTTTTAATTTATTTTAATGATGCTATATTTGTTGGCATGGAACCAAAAGGTTGAGTAGTTGTGGATTAAATTTCCAACAGAAGCATAAAAAGGAGACACTGTGACCCTCACTCTCTCAAAAAGGGAGAGGGGCATGTGAACTTAGCAGACTCAGACAATATGAAGCAAAAACGTCTCTCCATAAGGATCCTGACAGGTGAAAACTCCCTTGGGATCATTTTAATTTCTTTAAAATTATTGTTTTTTTGTATCTTTAGTCTTTGATTCTTTCACTGTTTTAGTAACCATAAAACAAGTGTTTATTTATCCAGAGTCATAGCTGATGATTTTATACATTTTTGTTATGCAATGTAGCTTCTAAATAAAAACACATACATTAAACAGCAGGCGCTTTCAGCAGTAATTGGAAGAAAAAGACACAGTATTTTTTATCATATCTCCAGTTCATGAATATTGGGTTGTCACCTAATAGTTACAAACCATTTTGTTAGCTGTTCAGTGTGAGAGGAAACCAATTGAAGTATCACGAGAAAAATCTTCAAACTGTGCAGCTTCTACGGAAAAGATCTACATCCGAAAAGATCTGCGCAGCCCACTAGCTGCAACACCAACTTTTGTAACGGACAATGAAACAGCAAGGTATGTAAATAGTGCTCAAGACTAATAGTTTCTTGATGTCAGCAACATCAGAACACTAAAGTTTGTACTTTTCCCCCTTCAGATCAACAGGACTGCTAGAGTCAGGAATGTTTGTAAATATTCATCAGTCTGGAATAAAAAGTGAGCCTACTGTGCTTATGACACAAGATAAGGTATGTGTTCACATGAATAAAATACTAAGGCTACATACACACTACAACCTAGAGGTGTGATTTCCCCAGCTTTCATAGACATATTTGTGTCTGTTCTTATTAAACTAGCATAAGTATAAACAGAATTGTAGCCGTAGTAGTAAAGTAGCAACAATGAAGGCATGCTTTTACTGTGCCGAGTATGTACACGCAGTCCTCTGATTCTTACCTGTTTTAGAAAATCTGGGACATAAACGCTACCTCTCTTTTTCATTTAAAAGTTGCTAGCTGTAGGAAGTTTTACTCCTCTTGGAAAAAGACTTTTTTTCTTGTATTTTGAATTCTGAGCACAGCAGGTTTTTTTCCTTTTAGCACTGACTGGTGGACTCATAGTATGTTAACAAACATATGGTCTTGGGTGGCCTCTCTGAATTATTCATCTTCAATTTAATTTTTGCGTTCACATACTGATTATTTGAAAATAGGACTCAGATTTGGTGACCTGCAATCCCTTACCGAGGTAGCTATCGCTCTGTCTGAATGCATTTCACAAATACCTTTAGTAGTAAAGTTCTCCCTGAATCATGTAAACGCTCAGAAAACTAAATATTGTTTCAGAATTCACAACATAGTCATTGCGGTAAAAAAGGAAATGTAGTTTCTTAAATTCATACAGAGATGTTGAAGCACTTTTTGGGATGTCATGGTTAACATGCCTCTTCAGTATTGTGTGGAAGGCCTGTGCAGAACCTCTGGAAAGGCAAACCAGGATGATGGTCCCAGAAGGAAACCAGAAGCCGTGTTCCAACTATGAGGGGTGGGAGAAATCACACTTCTCAGCATCCCTAGCAAAACCTATGCCAGGGTGCTGGAGAAGAGGTAATAATGCCTGTTAGTTGAATCCCAGATTCAGAAGGAACAGTGCAGAGTCTGTCCCTGTTGTGAAGCAACAGACCAGCTCTTTGCTCTCTTGTAGATATTTGAGGGATTGTGGGACTTTGCTAATCTGGTCTATCTTTTTTGTAGACCTGAAGAAGGCATATAACCATGTTCCCTGAGATGTCTTGTAGGAAGTGCTGTGGGAGTAGGAGGTGCGAGTGTTGCTTTTGTGTGCTATCCAGTCCCTCTATTCTCAGAGCGCGAGATGTGATTGTATTCTTAAGATTGTCAAGTTTTTGTTCAAGGTGGGCATTGGACTCCACCAAGGGTGCATCTTGTCCCCACTCCTGTTTATGATTTTCATGGACAGGATAACAAGGTGAGCTGAGCTGTGGAGTATCCAGTACAGGAACTTGCAGGTGGCCTCTCTGCTGTTTTTGCAGGTGATGTTTTTTTGCTTCCCCAGATTATGATCTCCACCATGCACTTGAATGTTTCGCAGATGAGTGTGAAGTGATTAGGATGAGGATCAGCTCTCTCCAAGAGAGGGAAGAGCTGCTGCCCTTAGTGAAGAGTTCAAGTATCTAGGAGTTTTGTTCACAAGTGATAAGTGAGAGAGTGAGATTAACCAATGGATTGGTGTGGCAGACGCTGTACCAGTCTGTGGTGGTGAAGTGGGAGATCAGTTCTCGAACAAAGCTCTCAGTTTACAGGTCATTGTACATCCCCATTTTCACCTATGGTCATGAAAAGGGCTCGCCGAACCGTGGCAAGCCCCGCTCGCCAGCCGCGCTGTCTGGCGATCTGCACATGCGCAGGGCAATCTGCACATATGCAGATCGCCTGAACCTAGCTCTTCCGGGTTGCAGTCTACTTGCCACAGGCGAGTAGATTGCATTATTTGTCGAGCCCTGGTCATGAATTTTGGGAAATGACCAAAAGGACAAAATTCAGGGTACCAGCGGAGGAAATTAGCTTTATCTGGAAGGTGGTGGGGCTTACTCTGAGACTGGGTGAGGAGCTTGGCTATTCAGGAGAGCCATGGAGTTGAACTGCTACTTCTCCAGGTTGGGAGGAGCCAGCTGAGGTGGTTGAGGCACCTAATAAGGGCACCCCATGAGAAGCTTCCTTTGGAACTGAGTGACAGTTTGCACTGGGAGGAAGAGGCCCCAAGGCCACACTGATGGGATCATATCTCCTGGCTGGCTTGGGAATTCCTCAGGAGGAGATGGGACCTGTTACAGAAGAAGGGGAGGTCTGGGCCGCCCTACTGTCCATGCTGCCACCACAACTCTCACCATTAAAAGTGGCACAAAGGAAAAGAAAGACTTTTCTTAAATTTAAACAGAAGTCAGGTCAGGCAGCAATTCAAACCCTTAATGTACCCAGTATGATAATAAATGATAGCTAAATAATATCCTTATTCCCCATAAATATTTTAGACTGATTTTTTTTTCTTATTCCCACTTTCATCTGAGTTCTGATGGTTCTTCATTTATGCTAACTTTTTTCTTTCTTTAACTGATGTCCAGTTTTTTTATTTTGCTCTCATGCACTTTACCCTGCTTACTGCACTTGGGAAAGTTCTGGTCAAATGATGTTTTTTCCCTTTATGGGCAGGCCAGTGAAAATGAGAGTATGAATGAGTAAATAAACTTAAGAGGGCAGCTTTGTTGTTACGTGTTGTAGGTATGCGTGCTCTTTTCTTCAAATAATTTTTGGTGAAGTAAAGGTTGATTGCTGGCTGGTTGCTACCGTAAGCTACTGGGTACTTTGTGGGCTATTTAGCAGCTAAATCAAGAAGTAAAAAGAAATTATATCTTGTTGTAGTAGTCTGGCTTCCCTATATACCTGTACTGACATAACTTCTCATTCATTCCTTCATCATAAATATCCTCCCTGAACTTCTGACTGGCTCACAAAACTGTAGAACATAAGAAGGAAGTCTTACGTATGTAATGCTGAAAAGATCATGTTCAGTTCCATAGACCTAAGTGTTAATGATTATTTGAACAGTGACTCAGGGTGGTATAGACAATAAGGGTGTGTCTAGACTATAGCTTTCTTCTTCCGCAAAAGCCTATGCAAATGAAGTGTAGATTAGCATATTGCCGCATAATTATTTTTTTCAGGAAGAACGGCTCTTGTGCAAGATGGGATTTTGTGCAAAAATGACTCAATTATGCAAATGAAGCACAGCAATATGCTAATCTGTGCTTCATTTGCATAGGCTTTTGCGGAAGAAGGAAACTGTGTAGATGTAGCCCATGTGCTTGCCAGATATGTCACACTCGGGATCCTGCTGGGAATCCTGGCCCCAGTACTCACTCGTTCCGTGTGGGAGACTTAGCCTCTCTTGTATGTAGAACACTTTCAAGTAAGTACTCTGAATTGATCATGGAAGAAGATCTGCTTAATTGGGTACAGTACTGCCAGAAGAGAAACATTTTCTATCTTTCTCCCCAAATGCTGCAGAGACTTTCAGTAATTCCAAGATCTCCTGTGTAGAGTAGCAGGTGAACTTCACATCCCCCTTGAGGAAGTACTGGAACATGAAACAACAGCTACCAGGCATCCTTCACTCATTGGTATTAAGTAGGGAATCAGTGTTCCCTCTAAGATGCATGTCAGCACAGATTCAACGGTTATTAATCAGCCTCACCCAGTCAGTGGCCCAGGGCTGACTGACAGAGCAGGGCTGATAAATCACGTGTGAAGCTGTGCTGCCATGCAGCTTAGAGAGACCACTTGTAGGGGTGCCCTCCCATTCAATACTGCCATTCTTTGACCAGCTCAACCAGTTGGGCATACTCCAGCCATGTGCCTGCCTACTGCCAAGGGGGCAGAAAAGAGATATTTTGTACCAGTTAAGGCAGGAGTAGGCAATAATTTTTGATGAGGGGCCACTCCAAGAATTTGGAAAGTGGTTGAGGGCTGCGCTGTTCCATGACGTTAAATGGAGGAGGTGCGGGGCCTGGGATGAAGGTTGGGTGCAGAAGGGAGCTTGGGGTATGGGAGGGATTTTGGATGAAGGAGGCAGTTGTGACCTGGGGCACTGGACTGGGGTATAGGGTGTTGACCTAGGGCAGGGATTTGGGGCAGGGTATTGGGGTGCCAGATCTGGAAAGGGATATGGGTACAGGAGGGGGCCAAGAGGATTTGGGTATGTGGAGTGGGGGGCAGAGGGTCGGAGAAGGGAGGAACTCAGGTGCCAAAGGTAGGCTCTGCCAGGAGACTTACCAGCCAGCATTGGTTCCTGAATCAGCCTCTCTGCCTGCCCCACCCCCGCACAGGCTGCAGCCATGTGCTCTGTGAATAACCATGGGGGATGGGAGCAGCTCCTGAAGCTTCCCTCCGGACTCTCAGTTTTTAAAGAAAAACTATCCCACAGCCATGTTTCTGAACAGTGTCTATAAAAGCACGAGTGGTGTGGAGAGGATGCATAAAGAAAAGTTCTTCATTAGTTCCCATAATAGAAGGACTAGAGGACACCAAATGAAATGAATGGGTAGCAGGCTTCAAACTAATAACAGAAAGTTCTTCTTCACAAAGCAAATAGTCAACCTGTGGAACTTCTTGCTGCAGGAGGCTGTGAAGGCTAGAACTATAACAGAGTTTAAAGAGAAGTGAGATAAAGTCATGGAGGTTGGGTCCATGGAGTGCTATTAGCCAGGGGGTAGAAATGGTGTCCCTGGCCTCTGTTTGTGGAAGGCTGGAGATGGATGGCACGAGACAAATGGCTTGGTCACTGTCTTCGGTCCATCCCCTCCAGGGTACCTAGTGTTGGCCGCTGTCGGCAGACAGGCTATTGGGCTAGATGGACCTTTGGTCTGACCCAGTACGGCCATTCTAAGCTCAGGGCTCAGGGTCAGGGGTCTCACTGGACCACCTTGATTTTCAAGCACACCTGCTCCTGGGTGGCCAGGCTGGCAGCTATCCTGCCCTAGACGGCCACTTTCCTGTGCCTAGTGCGGAGGTCGTGGATGAGGTCCACGATGTCTGCACTAGACCAGGCGGGCGCCCACCTCTTGCGGACCTGGGCAGGCTCCCGGGAGCCGCCAACCTGGTCCCGGGAAGAGGCGGAGGGCTGGGTGGCAGCGGGTGGCTGGCTCGAGCCGTGCCAGGTGCAGGGTCTGCTGGCT